AAGCTGCGGGGATAAGAGAAACAGAAGTTTAGAAGCAAAGTGAAAGAAATAGGAATGCTGGAAGATAGAAGTAAAATGGGAGAAATAGGAATGCCCGGAGATAGAGAAATAGAGAAATAGAAAGGCCTCCCTACAACACTGCAATGTGAGAGCTTGGATTCGGTCTGCCTGATTAAGTGAGGCGATGAGCACGATGAGCACCTGCGGCGGCTAGCAGCTTATGCGCCGCAGGTCACCGAAGACAGGCACGAATTAACATCAGTAAGGCTTCCCCACAATACAACAATGAGAAAGCTTGGAGTCGGTCTGCCTGATTTAAGGCGGTAAGCGCCAGCAAGCAGCTCGACCAAAGCATGAGCTGCAGGTCACCGAAGATAGGCACAAACCAACACTAATAAGTCTCCCCCACAATACGGCAATGAGAAGGCTTGGATTCGGTTTGCCTGATAGGTTTTGTAAGCACCTGCAGGCAGTTCTAGCAGAGCAGAGCATGCGCTGCAGGGCACCGAACACAGGCACGCATCAGCGCCTAAAAACCTCCTCACAACATGGCGAAGAGAGGACCCGGATTCGGTTTGCCTGATAGGACTTGTAAGAGCCTGTGGCAACTCTAGCAAGTAGAGCAGAGTGTGTGCCGCGGGACACCGAAGACAGGCGCGTATCAACGCCAAAAAATAAAAAGAAAGGGGGATCTGTGGGGAGCAAACCGGACTAGACTGTTACTGGAATTAAGACTTATTCTATGCATCTGCTCTCCCACAATATGGCGCTGGGAGAGAAGTAAACAGCTTCTGCACAGCTGCCTCCAGTTCAACTAATAAACTGTAGGACTTGCTCCTGATTGGAGGAGAGCAGCGTACTCGGCGTGTGGGCAGCCGAGTTGGGATTGGCGGAGGAGGACTATAAAGGAGGAGAGAGACGGCATGCACCAAGAACATCTATGGGGAACATCTAAGGGAACCCGTGCAGCCCCCGAGAGAACCAGCCGGCGGTGTGCCGCTCCCCTGCGGAAGTGGGGAATGCGGCCAGGGGGAACTGCCCTTCCACGGAGGTGGAAGGGATAGTAGCCAACCCGGGAAGAACCAGCAGCAAACCCGGGGAGGGCCGAGCAGACGAAAGAACAGCGCAGGGTCCTGTGTTGCTCCTCCACGAAGAGGGGGAGCGACACCTATTATTACTAGAATTTAAAAACATGCACGTCAATTTTTCTGCTGTAGCAGGAGTCAAATAGGACTCTCTTGATATTTTGAGTAGTTACTTCAATGAGCAACTACTTCATTGAGTAGTTGAGACCAGTAATTAAGCAGTAAGAGAAGATTTAATTATTATCTTGAATAATTAAATAATTCTTAGAAATCTCATATGTTAACCATATCTGTTGAAGGAGAGGAAATTGACGTCAGTGATGTGGAAACAGTTCTAACAAACATGGGGATAGAGCTCCCAGAAAAAAAACTCTCATATCTGATAAATAATCTTCCAGTTGATGGTGAGTATTTCAAATAAAAATGTAATCTTCTAGAAAGTCTTATTGTTAAATTATGAAAACTTCTAAAATTATCTCTACCTGCTTGCCAAAAATAATCTATGTCCCATGTTACATATTTGTAAGTGACCCCATTATAGGTTGAATATCCACAATCTGAAAATCTGAAATGCTCCATAATTCACAGCATTTTTTGAGCACCAACAATACACTACAAGTGGGAAATTTCACACCTGACCTCATGTGATGGATCACAGGTGCACTAAAAGCTTTGCATAAAATTACTTTCAGGATGTGTGTAAAAGGTATATCTGAGGCATAAATGAATTTTGTGTTCAGACTTATATCTCATCCCACAAGACATCTCCTTATGAATATGCAAATAATCCAAAATCTGAAAAAATTGTGAAATATTAAATATTTCTAGTTCCAAGCATTTCAGATAATCGATATTCAGCCTGTGTATCTTAAAAGATTTTTTGCGCCATTTAACTTTAGTTTGAAAAGCAACAACTTTCATCAGGGTTCAGTTATGTCTTTTATGAGTTTTGATTCTACTGAAAAGTATAAAATTTAAATCAGAATAAATATGAATGAAAAAGAGAAGGAAGTGATCCAATAGAGAAAGATGGAAATATTACAAAAGAAAAGGAATGCATGTTTCAGTATAGTAGATTGTCAGTTTTAATTACATATATTACTAATGTTAAAACTTTCTCCATACTCTATATGTAATTTCACTGTTTGTTAGTAAACTAGAAAATGTTTAAGGTAATTGGCATGGTGTATCTTTCTGAAATTACTGGTTTTGTGCTGTCTCTGAAACTCTGCTGCTCTTACATGATCTGAATAGTGCTTTCTCCTACAGATGGGAAGGTTTATCAGAAAAGGCTGCTGGATGGCATAAAGCATCTCAAAGGTGAGGGAGAAGCTTCATTACGTGCAGATGAATCTGAGATCATCGTGTTTGGCATTTATACTATTTCCTCGTGATTAAATTGTAAATCAACTATCATTATATACTTTTTATTCTTTTATACATCAGCCCATACTTTAGGAGACTACTTCTTATGTTATAACTTGGCAAGAATTCCCATGCTCCCTTGGGATTCTGAGCTGTGAACTAGGAAGAAATGATCAAAGCCCAGGTTGCACAGCAACAGTAAAAGGAAAATCAACACATCTTCATTTACTTTTTTCAACAGCAGAGCAAACTACTCTGATATTCAGGCCAAATAAAGAGACAAACAAATAAATAAAAAGGCTGGAAAGGTTCCAAGGAAGTAGAGGCAGATAAAACTAATGAGAAAATCAGGAGTAGGCCAGAAAGAGAGTCATGTCTAAACTGAATTCCCACACTTCCATCACTGAATATCACCTTCATTACATCTGCCAAATCTGTACACTGATTGTACTACTATTCATATTTTTATTAAGATTGATTTATTTTTTAAATGATATAAAATACTTTAAAATGAAGATGTTAATAGAAAACCCTCATCTCTTACCATAACTAGAAGTTAATTATAAAAATAAGCACAATGAAAAGAACACAACATTAGTTGGAAACATTGGATTTATTGTCATTTACTGTCTCCTTGCTGGAAATCTATGAGAAGTTACTGAACCACTTTTTAATTTTTAGATTGAGTACACTCACCATGAAGACCAAAGCAAGTTCTAACTGCAGCTCTGTTACTGACTCTTTTTGTGCACTTGTAAAGATTTCATTAAGCTTTGATCTTTTGGATGAAAACCTCAGGAATTGAATAATTATGCAGTTCTCCACATGTTTTAGGGTCTTTAACTTTTGCTTATATATATTTTTCGTAAGGAGGGAAGATTGATTCCAGTAAAGTGAATACAGTTTTGGAAAACATGGGCATAAACCTCACTGAAACAGAGCTTAAAGATCTAGCAAAAAATCTGGCAGTTGACGGTAAGAGTTTTAATATTGCTGAACCCTACATAAACTAGCTTTTTAAGCCTTTTCTCATTCTCCCTCCCTCCCTCCCTCCCTCCCTCTCTCTCTGTATGTGTGTTCTTTTCTACTCAGTTTTTCCCTTCTTTCCATATATGGTAGCAAGAATTGATAGATACCACTCCAATTCCAGCCCACCTCCTTGGCCACGTTTGCTAATAGATGACATCAGTGTTTATTTTAACCAAGTGAGCCATGGCGCTGGTCCCCATTAGTGTTTATTTTAAAAGGTCACTTAATTGTTGATGGGTATTTTTCCCTTTTAATATGGCTAGAATAAACCTACTTTACATGGAAGTTATCTATCTTATTTATTTATTTATTTGATAGGCAGAGTACAGAGAGGGAGAGACAGAGAGCTCCCAAAATGGCAGCAATGGCCAGGGCAGCATCAGGCCGAAACCAGGAGCCCAGAGCTTCTCCCAGGTATCCTTTGTGGATGCAGAGGCCCACGCACTCGAGGCTTCTGCTGCTGCTTTCCCAGGCACATAAGCAAGGAGCTGAATTGCAAGTGGAGCAGCTGATCTTGAACCTGTGCCCATGTGCAATGCTGATGTGACAAGTTGTGTCTTAACTGACTATGTCACAATGCTGACCCCTGGAGCCATATAAATTTCTGTATGTTTCTCACTTTCACTTGGGTCCTATGGAGATGTGTATGATAGGCAATTTAGACCTGCTACTCTCCTTTTCCACTTTTTCTGATGCTGGCATGTATGCATGTTATCAAACTGTTTTCAAACAGTAGAGGTAAATTTTTGGACCAACTTTCAGGTTTAAGAGTCAGGACCATATCCATAATTCAAACCTTCCTGAATCTTTTTAAGCTCTACTTGTTTAACAAAAAATATACCACATGAGATTAAGATTTTAAAAATGATAATCATTTCCTGGGTCTATACTTCTCTTACAGATCTAGCCGTAAGGAGTGTTTTATTATAGATAGAATTCCAGAATTCCTGCAACGCTTGGCCAATTTGTCTTCTCTACCTTACTAACAGTACCCAAATCTTGCCCAGTTTGTAACTGTTTCTAAGAATATTAATTAAGGAATGTTTTGAAACTGTTAAAAATTATTGAATCTATGTGTTCTCATTGAATTATTCTTTATTCTGTATTATTTATAATATTTTAAAATCAATATATAGAACAAAACAAGAAGGAATTTGTTGGAATCTTGACTAAAAGTCCATGAGAGGTTTTCCTCAAGGTAGCAGAGTAGGGAGGGAGCTTACAGCTCTAGTCTAGGAGAAGGTAGTTAGGAAGAGTTAGGGAGAAAACAGCAGAGGAAACACCATGCAAATTAGAGGGACACAGCAGACATACATGGAGGATGTGGGCATGCACAAATCAGGACCCCAGCAGCCAAGAGCCTCCATACCAGCTTTAGAGAGAGGTGAGACCAGACTGCAGCTGCTGAAGCTACTGGCAAAAAAAGCTGCAGGAAAAGACAGAGGGAATCCAGCTTGGAGCTCGGGGGGGGATAGTTTACCTGGCAAACTAGAGGAGGAAGGAGGGGGCATGTTTCGCTCTCCCCAATCACCCTGCAATGACATCCTGTAAGAAGCTGAGAGAGCATGCACAATTTTGGACATACATTACAGCTGTACCAGTTTGTGTCTGCAACAAGCAACCAGCCAAGCAGAGACTCCTAAGTCTGGCGGGGAGAACTGACAGGGGGCTGGGTGCTCATGACTGTGGGAGGATTGTGTGCCAGGACTGTGAAAACACTGAGACTGAGGGGCTTTGAAAACTCTGAGGCTATGTAGGAAGGCTCAGGGTGTGGCTAAGACTTGGAGCATTCACTATGGGAGGCTCCACAGGTTCAGGGCTTCCTGGTTCCCTAGTGAAGGACATTGCTAGGGAATCTGCTTATGCCGAGGACTGCACAGATCCTTTGTGTGGTCCTTGTAGAAGTGTGAGTGAATATTATACCCACAGGGGCTAGTGCCCAGCCACTGGTCTCCTTTAAGGAGAGGAAATGAGCTGAGTCTAGACCAACAGAAGAAAAACCTCCCCTCAGATTAAACAAACAAACAAACAAACAAAAAAACAAAGCAAAACAAAACAAAGAGGAGATTTAGCACACCCAACCTGAGTGTCAACACTCCTTTCACCCTCCCTGGCTACACCCACCACACACCTCTAGGTATTCCCTGAAAGCAGACACTGCACTAATCCACACAGACATAGTCCAAAGATAAAACCAAAGAACAAAAAAGAAGAAGAAGAAGAAGAAGTAGAAGAAGAAGAAGAAGAAGAAGAAGAAGAAGAAGAAGAAGAAGAAACCAACGAGTATCTCCACAAATGCCAAATAACAAATGCACCAATTCAAGAAACAAGAATAAGGAACACAACCTGAGGCCCCCAAAATAATAAAACACTTTAAAAGTAGATTGTGAAGATAAAGACTTTGAAGAAATGCAAGAAACAGAATTCAAAAACTTTATCATAAGATTACATAGAAGTAATCAGAAGCAAATGCATGAACTATTGAAATCTGCACATATCATGAAAGAAAATTATTCCCTTAAAATTGAGATCTTAGAAAGCAAAATGAAATCCTGGAAATGAAGAATTCAATAGAACAAATAAAAAATGCAGTGGAAAGCCTTAACAACAGAATCAGTGAAGCAGAAGAAAGAATATCTGACTTAAAAGACAAATAGCAGGAAATTATACACTCAGACAAAAAAAAAAAAAACACACACACTGTTGGGAATCTACAGGATACTATCAAACAATCCAACATCCAAGTTCTAGAAGTTCCTGAAGGTGTGGAAAGAAAGAAAGAATTAGACTGCCTTTTTGCTGAAATAATAATAGAAAACTTCCCTAATTTGGGGAAAGAAAGAGACATCCAAGTACAGGAAGAACATAGGAACAAATAGACATGACCAGAAAAGATCTTCACCATGACACATTGTAATCAGACTATCCAAAGTAAAACATAAAGGATACTAAAATGAGCATGAGAGAAATGCCAGATTACATTCAGAGGAACTCCAATTAGACTCACAGCAGACTTCTCATCAGAAACCCTACAGGAGAGGAGAGAATAGCAAGATATATTCCAATTCTTAAGAGAAAAAAACTGTCATCCCAGAATGCAAATCCTTGCAAAGCTCTCATTTATGAATGAAGGTGAAATAAAGACCTTCCAAAACAAACAGAAATTGAAACATTTGTCACCACCCATCCAGCCTTATAAAAGATGCTTAAGATTGTGCTTCACACAGAAACAAAGAAGCATGGTCATCACTACAAAAGAAGGTAAAGGAAGAAAATCACCCAGTAAAAATACAAAAGAAATCTAAGTAAAAAATAGAATATTTACGGAAAAATGTGGAGCAAAGTCATTACTTATCAATAGTCACCTTGAATGTAAATGGATTCAACTCTCCAGTTAAAAGACACAGACTGATTGATTGGATTTAAAAAAAAAAAAAAAAACTTTTTCTATTAGCTGCCTGCAAGAAACACAACTCACCAACAAAGATGCATGCAGACTGAAAAGGAAAAGATAGAAAAAGATAATCCATGCTAACAGAAACCAAAAAAGAGCTGGTGTAGCCATCCAATTATCATACAAAATAGACTTTAACACAAAAACTGTTAAAGAGACTAAGAAGGGCAGGATGTAATGATTGAGGGAACAATTCAACAGGAATGTGACAATTATAAATTTGTATGTACCTAATTACAGGGCACCTAGCTATTTAAAGAAATGTTAGGGATTTTAAGGGAGAAATAGTCTCATATACTATAGTAACGGGGGACTTTAATACCCTATGTTCAGCAATAGGCAGATAAGCCAGACAGAATGAGCAAGGAAACAATAGTGTTAATTGACACTGTTGAACAAATGGACCTAACAGATATCTAAGAAATTTGCCATCTTACAGTTGCAGAATTCACATTCTTCTCAGCAGTGCCTGGAACTTTGTATAGGATTGACCACATGCTAGCACCCCATAAAACAAGTCTCAGAAAATTCAAAAAAATCAAAATCATACCATGCATCTTCTCAGACCACAATGCAATAAAGCAGGAAATCAGCAACTCAGGAATCTCTAGACATATGCAAACACATGGAGAATGACAGGTGCTCCTGAATGAACAGTGGGTCATTGAAGAAATCAAGAGAAATAAAAACATTTCTGGGAGCAAATGAAGATGAATCTACAATATATCAAAATTTATGGGAAACAGCAAAAACAGTGTTAAGAAAAAAGCTTATAGCAATAGTTGCCTACATCAAGAAGTTGGAAAGGCACCAAATAAATGAGCTATCAGTGCATCTCAGGGATCTCAAAAAACAACAGCTAACCAAACTCAAAACTAGTAGGAGAATAGAAATAATTAAAATTAGAGAAAAAAAGAACAATACAAAAGATCAGTAAAACAAAGAGCTGTGTTTTTGAAAAAATAAACAAAATGGACACATCATTGGCCCAACTAACCAAAAAACGGAGAGAGAAAATTCAAATCAATAAAATTAGAGATGAAAAAAGAAATGTAACAACAGACAGAATAGAAACAAAAAGAATCATCAGAAATTACTACAAAGAGCTGTATGCCAACAAACTGGGAAATCTAGAAAAAATGCATAGATTCCTGGACACATACAAACTACCTAAATTGAGCCATAAAGACATACAAAACCTAAACAAACCCCTAACCAAGAGGGATATTAAATTAGTAATAAAGACCTTCCCAACAAAGAAAAGCTCAGGACTGGATGGCTTCACTGCTGAATCTACCAGACATTTAAAGAAGAACTAACTCCAATTCTTCTAAAGCTATTCAAAACAATCAAAATTCTTCCTATGAAGTCAGCATCACCTTAATTCCTAAACCCATAAAAGACACAACAGAGAAAGAGAACTACAGACCATTTTCTCTGAAGAACATAGACAAAAAAATTCCTCAACAAAATTCTGGCCAATTGAATCCAA